CTCCACTCACAAACAACCGACGGAGTCAAGTCTCTCTGTTCACTGCCTTGTAGTCGCCCCGCTGTTGTCGAGAATTCTCTCAAGCGCGCGGGAGTCCCGCCGGCCCATCTTATCAGATCCTTCTTCGTTGTCGGGTATGTCTTGGCGGCGGAGCTATGTCAATAAATTTGAGTTTTTAGTCATCAAAACTCCCTTCCCAGCCTATTTCTCCGAGAATTACCTTACGCGAAAGAGGTTAATCTTCGGCGAGAATCCAAACCTTCGTCAAGAAGAACAGAGTGCGACCCCTTCCAACACAGCCTTACGTCCGCTATGGCCGTTGCTGACATGCTTGGCACGCGCGACCTTGTGACCAGAACAGGTAGGTAGCATAGAACCACATAGACTTGGTTCTTGGCTATCCCCATAGCCGGTAGCGAGCTCGATGTGCGCTTCACATAAAATTTGAGTTGCTTAAGCCAAGATGATCGTCGGAATACGGCCACACGCTTGGCAGGGGTTGCACTTCGGCTAACACACCATCCCAAGGATCAGACGATAGAGTTCTGGATGTGGCAGGCGGTGCTGTCGACACAAAGTCCGAGATCCTAGGAGACTGGATATTTGGTCTAGGTCACAACTTACACCCATGTACGAATATTGACGGATGCTGAGTCGAAACTACTTGGATGTTGACCGCTTAAATCGTTGGTGAAAGGGGGGCGTTTATTTCTGGCTTGCTGCTATGATGGAAAATATTCAACTAAGCATGGAAACACAGATCCAACATTTCATTTTTCGTCAAAACAGTGTAGCTCTTTCAAGTTATTGGCTCATCATGCGCCATGTTAAAACTGACGCCGAAGCATACACTTCAATCATAGTAAGATGGGGAGCTGATCCAAGTGTCGAGGCGTAGTTGGCCTGGATGAAGTTGGGCTCTTGCATACGGTACATCCATTTATGAATGCTTTTTCCCCCTCGCTATCCGCGAGTAAAGTTAAAACTGCACTGTTGTCTTTCACTAAAAATCGTGGGTCGCCAAGCCTGGGACCTGGGATGAACGACTCGGGCTTATGATGCACCTCGAGTCGCGGAACATGCGGACTCCGGAACCGGTCTGGGATAGCCTGGCGTCTTGAAGTATTTTGTGTTTGGCTTGATGACGCTTTTCAGTCCCTTCGCGCAGAGCAGACTCGTGGAACAAGCTAATATGGGCTCCATCATAAACCTGATGCAACTTCTCGGCCAGCAACGGAGGATGTTAGCGCATGATTTCATCCCACCCGGCAAGTTGGCCCCAGATCCTAGTGTTAGCAAAATGTGATTTCCTCATTCAAGGGGAGGATACTCCCAAAGTGCGATATCAGGTCTGCTCACATTTACACAATGCATCGCCAGGTAAGGTAAGGTAACAATTTGTCGCAATCGCTGCAGTCTGAATGTCCGGAACCGACCCGGCTCCGATGATTTGGTATGCCCAAATAGAAATTGGAATTAGCACAGAATATCAACGCGCCGGGTTGTGTTTCCCTAGCTAAATAGACCACCCAATTGATACCCTAACTCTTAGTCACATCTCAGCTTATTCATAAATCCTTACTCGGTTCATTTAGGCATGAATCACCCTGCATACAGGCGGAAAGCGTGCGCAGGACGATACATCTTCAAGTTGCTGAGTAATTACAGTGCTCGGGAATTTGGACTCAGAAATGTCTTCTCTCATCAGAAGACTGGCACATTTCGTGTGAGGTACTCGTACCAATTAGGCAAAGTCCTCTTGTACGGATTTCCCTCTGTCGTCAACTGCAAATCCTCGATTGCACTTTCCCACTTAACCAACTCCGCTTCTCCATACGCTGTTTGCATTATGGCCAAGCCGAAACCCATTCCAGTGCTAGAGCGAACACCGGCCGGGAGAGTTATCATGGGGTATCCCGCCTGGGCAGCAATCTGATACGTCTGACCGACGTCAGGAGGGACTAGGAGACCAGCCAATTTCGTCCCATTAGAAGAGGTGAGGGCATCATTGATACCACTCCGCGTTGACTGCTGGGAGAACTCGACAGCTTGAAGATAGATCTCATCCTTGATACCTTTCGACTCGAGAGATGCCAAAAACCCGTCTTGGCCAGAGTAAAACGCGGCCGTCCCAAGTGGCCAAGGATGGCCGCCCTCGGTCCCGTCATTGTCATAGTTGAATGCAATGATATCTTCGAAAGTCTTGATATCGGTGTTTTCCAGCTCCGAAAGGTAGGTGTTGATGTTGTTGTAAAAGTCAACTTTAACGACCGTGTACTCGGACTCATTCGGGTAGCCTCTTGATGTGCCATAATCCCAGTCCCAACCATCCGGGCTAACGATGGTCTCATAGTCAGTGATTTCAGTGTTGTTGATTATCGTTGCCCCAGCTGAGGTAATGAGCTTGAGTAATTGCTCTAGAGACTCCCTCTGTTCATCGTCTGCGAGAGCCCAGAAACTATTCCAGGGAAGTCCGAAGGTGGCGCCTTTGAGGATCTCCTTTGTAGATAGGAATTGAGTGTAACCCCCTTCAGGCGTCCTGCCTTCCTGAGCCAGGGTGTAGTTGTCTCGCTCATCAATGCCATAGATTGCATCAAAAGCGTAAACAGCATCTCTGACTGTGCGGCCGAAGGTTCCGACAGAATCTTGATGCTCGCTCTCAGGAATGACCCTATCTCCGAATTAGCGAAGCTTCGGAAAATCAGATTCCAGAGACATGGTCCATACCCTGCCCTTGAAGTCAGACCAACTGTAGGCTTGAATCCTACAATGGCGTTTCGCTCGGCGGGGTTAATGACACTACCATCTGTCTCCGTGCCCAGCGAGAAAGCAATGGCATTCGCCGCGACGCCAACAGCGCTTCCCGTGCTACTACCGCCCGGATTGAGTGTGAAGTTATACGGGCTTCTGCATTGACCGCCTCGAGCCGAGAACCCCTCAGAATAGTTGTTGCTACGCATATCGGCCCACTCACTCAGAGCGGCCTTGCCCAACAAGATAGCGCCGGCTTCGCGAAGGCGCTTGACCACGTGAGCGTCTCGGGGGACGATGCTGCCCAAAAGCGCAAAGCTGCCTGCTGTCGTCTCCATATTGTCCTTGGAGGCGATGTTGTCCTTGACGGTGAATGGAATGCCGTGTAGTGGCCCCCGTATCTTTCCGGCTTTGCGTTCCAAGTCCATCTTGACAGCTAGCTGGAAGACATCTGGATTGATTTGCAAAATAGAGCTGTCTGGCGCATTAGTGTGTATCCACTTATGTTGTGATGAACCATCTACTTTGCAACTCCAACATGCCAGCTAGAGTAGTCTACTTACTGAATGTACTCCTGCGTCTGGTAGGTTCGTTGTATATAACACCCAACTAGCTGCTGAGAAGTGAGTGTGCCAGCAGTCAATGCTGCTTGCATCTCGTCAATTGTCGCCTCTTCCAACTTAAAAGTTCCACAGAGTGGCATCGGGAACAGGTATGCAGATTCCACATCTTCAAGCAGCGGGAACACCGAAGGTACGGTTGTCGACGAGTTTCCAGGCAAGCTTTGAGAGGTACTCAGCTTGCAGCTAGCCAAAGAGATCTCAATACCCGCCACAATGGCAACCCAAAGTTGCGCCTTGTACATCTCGGTCACTGATTACTGTGCTTCCTCAAGCGAGATGCAGAATGCAAGCCACGGGCTGGACAGGCAGAAGACCGGCTGGAGACATGAGACAGTGGCCAGGCACACATAGCCACAGAGTCGGTGTGCCCTGTTGCAGCTTTTAAAGCCTCACATCTCAGCTGATAAGCTGACGTACTGTGTGCAACTCTGCCCCGCCCCGAGATGCCGATCCGGGTTTGCTAGATTGCGGCGGGGCGCAGGTGTTGTCAATGGTTGGCTGCATCTTCTTGGGGGCTGAGATACTGATAGGAGATGATAGGAGAGTTGCGGTGCGCAAAAGCAAGCCTAGGTGCGACTAGTCTTGCGGGGATTGAACAGGGATTCCGGGATGACTCGGTCAGTAATTATGAGGTGCTATAGTAAACAAATGTTTTGAGCCATGTCGCTGGGTGAACCTCCGTTTCTGTAACTACCCTAAGATGATTACTTAGTTGTTGGAGTGAGGTGTCAATTTCAAGTCGATGAAGGACTTAGAAGTTACACGCAATGCAAACGGAAACAGAGCCATGTTCACTGCCGCTTCTATATCAAGTAGCGGGACCCGAATGTGTCACCGTGTCAGGATTGACGTGAACCTTCATTTCTTTCACCTGGCTCCTTGAAATGCAGTGATGAAACGGTGAGTTTCAAGCATTTAATTTGAACAGTCGACATATTTTGAAAACTACATGTAACCAAATAAAATGTAGCAAATACAAGGTGGCTGTGACAATAACCTTCGTATACTTGTCTAGACATCATCCATTTTTATTGCTTCGACGTCTCCTCAATCTCCCAAATGTCTTTTCCATATATAAGTCGGGGGTGACAGTTCTCCAGAACGTAGAATTTATGGCGTGTGATTAGCGATTGAGAACCAGGGGAAGGGTTGTGGTCAATGGTTATAGATACCATGCCGATACATGTCTGAACTGTCCCTTGGTCAAATTTGAATCCAATTTTCTTGTCGTCTTCACACGAATCCACGTTTATATCAAGTCTCTTGGCTTCTAGAATTGAGATGACGCTGACATCAAGTGTAGTATGAACGACGCCAGTCAAGATTTTGCCAGTAAGTTTACCCTTGTGCAATACATGAGAGTGAACAATCGACCTATCAAGGTTGGCAGTGTCAACTAGGATTACTCTCTCGTGAAGGGGTTCAAGCTGTTGGCGTTGACTTTGCGATGCCTGGACGGATTTCGCTTCGTGGATGTTCGAATTTGCACCGCTCCCATGGTCGATATGACGTTTAGTAGCTGGTTGGCCTGTTGTCGATGATGGCGTAGTCTTCGCCGACGATGACTGTTTGCGTGAAAGTCTCTCATGTTGCAAGCGGCGTTCGAGCTTGTACAGGGCCTCGTGATCATAATGACGTGCCTCCGTTTGGGAGCTTGCTCCACGTGAAGGAGCTGAAGATACTGATGGCATGGAATTGCCCGACGTTGAAGATTTGTAGGTCTGTGGCCTCGCCATTAGTCTTCGGACAAGGTTATTTTGGATGTGAGAAATTACCTCCTTGGTCCTGGTAGATGACTCTGACGACTCTGATGAGACGAACTTGGGCTTCGGGACACTCCCAGTTTTCACCATACTTCTTCCTAATGGTAACATAATCTCGTAGAGAGAGCTGGTGGACTGTGTCTGGTGTGTGAAGGCATCCGTTGGCATGAGTGGGTTGGCTCTTTCAATTTGGGCCTCTAGTCTTTTCAGTGTTTTCAAATTACCTCTAATGACCTTTTTCAGGTGATTACTAGCTGAGAGTGAGTTCAGAACTAAGTCGATGACTCCGGGTGAAGTCCCCATGTTTGTAAGAACGTACATGTGTTTCTCATTCGAAATCAATTTCTCAGTATCCCAGAGTGAATCTTTGCATTCCATGTCGAGAACCTCGAGTTGAGTGGCGGACACAAGCAGCTGAAGACTGATTTTTACAGAATTCATCTCTGGAAATAGATCTAGGATGCTGTCCTTCTGATACCACCACTTGAGAAAGTTGAAAACGGCGTTTCCGCCCCCAAGAAGTGATCGGACTCGTATGGTTGCTTTATCGAGCTGCCATTCTATTGATTTCGATCGATTCAGTATCCGATCGAGTATCCCTTGGGATGAAAGATATTGAAGAAGAGGAGACTTGGTGAAATTTGCGAAGTGTCGTTCGAGAGTGAAATGAGTCATATTGATACAATCCGAGAAGTCTTGTGCTTGGGAGGCACATCGATCAACTTCTTTCCGCGGAGAACTATTCTGTTTCGAGAAGTTGAGCAAAGCCTTTGCGAACTTTTCACCATAATGAGCAAGCTGTATAAGAGCTGCGACGTTAGCAACTATTCCAAGGATCTCGGCCATTTCAGTTGAGTTGCAAATCTCAAGGGCAGAAAAGATGTAGACGCTGTGTTGATTGAATTTATGGCCACGTAACTCACAATCTCCCCAGACGTGAAGAAAAAGCAGGAGCAATAGCGCTCTAATATCCTAGAGAGCGAATCGCCCCGGGGTGAATGTAGGCTCGAACAGCAAACCCCGCACGTGGCCTTCTGCATAGCATTTCATGCTGTAGGAGGTCTTCGGCAGAGGGGAAAGTGAGGCTTGCCTCTCCAAAAGCCACCCTTGGGCGGAGCGATAGGCTCTCTATCTCGCTGCATGCTGTGCTTCAACATGCCAATCGCACCTTTCATTCATAATGCAACCTGCACGTGAAGCACCCTCTCATGCTGCATCAATCACATCATAGCTACTCTTGGAAATAGGCTGCGCACCCGAGTGCATATTTCGGTGTCGTGACTGGTGAAAACCTCCGTCTCGACTGTGGCCGCCAACCTGGACGCACTAACTCGACGCAGGGTACTTCTTCGAGTCGGCGGCGAAGTGGTAAAGGGGGTTAGAATGGCAGCCATCAGCGGTGCGATGCACATCGCACTTGCACCCCCGGGCCGAACGGCGCGGGACCGGTGTCACTCCACTTCTCCGCGTCGGCCGAGGCGTTCGGGCTCGGGTTCGGGCCCACTGGGGCCTGTACATGCCGTAGGTGACCGTAGTGTCGCCGGCTGAGACCGGGAAGAAGAGAGAACTTCAGTGCGCTACGCGATGACTAATGCACAGTCGAATGTCAACTTAGTGATGTCATGGATCAGTAAACAGTTCGTGCCAATATGATCAGCTTTCTTGAGCGAATCCCCTTCTTTTGACCTTGATTCTTCCAAATTTGTATTTAAAGAGTCCCCTTTACGAGAAACGTCATGATACACTCCCGAGTTGGTGTGGTGACCGGTGCCAATAAGGGCATCGGGTTTGCAGTTGGTAGGATCTCATCCCACCCCAGAATCGCGTCATTCCAACTGACTTCTTACTCTCTCACCAGTCCGACAGCTCGCGCTGCAATATCCCAATTCCCATCTAAACAATGGCTCGCTGCTCATCTATCTAACTGCGCGCGACAAGTCTCGCGGTGAGCAAGCACTCAGCAAGATTCAGGGCGACGCGGATCTCAAGCAGGCCAAGGCCCTGTCTACCCACGGTGGCGCGGCGGACATCAAGTACCACCAGCTTGACATCTCAGATTCATCCAGCATCTCGAACCTCGCATCATTTCTGAAAAAGGAACATCCCGATGGCGTTGATTTCATCATTAACAACGCTGGTATTGCCATGCAAGGGTTTGGTAAGCGCGATCATCAAGTGCTGCGATGGTTCAACATAGAAGCTAACTCTCCGTACACAAGACTCAAACGTGGTGAAGAACACCCTGGCATGCAACTACTACGGTACACTGGAAGCGACACGCGCCTGGATCCCGGTTATGAAGCCAGACGGGCGCATCGTCAACGTGGCATCGGTATCAGGGTCCCTGAGCAAGTACTCGCCAGACATCAAGCAGCGCTTCCTTGACGCGCAGTCCGTGTCGGACGTCACCAAGCTGATGGAAGACTTCACCGCCGCGGTCGAGAAGGGCACGCACGAGAAGCAAGGTTGGCCCAGCGCCGCGTACGCGGTCTCTAAAGCTGGCGAGATTGGCATGACCAAGGCCATGGTCAAGGAGTTGCAGGACAAGGGAAGCAAGCTGCTCGTCAACTCGTGCCATCCCGGGTACGTGGTCACGGATATGACGCGAGGCGGCGGCACAAAGACGCCTGATGAGGGTGCGCAGACACCTGTGCATCTGGCGATTGCGGATATTGGTGGCAAGACTGGAGAGTACTGGTCTGATGAGAAGGTCGCCAGGTGGTGAACGTCTGGGCGGAACATGCCCAGAATGAGCAATATGACGAGGAAGACGCAGGGCTAGTTGACAATGGCAAAAATGAAACCTGACTGGAGTTTGTGGTTGAGGCAAAAGCAAATGAGGTCCATCCAGGATTCGAACCTGGGCCTACGGAAGGTTCTGAGAATCAGAATCCGACGTCCTAACCAACTAGACTAATAGACCGTTGTGATTGGTGCTTGTCGCTGAAGGTCTGGATCGCGGGTCATGCTATAGAGTAGAGCCCCAAGCGCGTTGGAACCTACTTTCGCGTTACAAGGCTGACACATTGCTCATCGAGTCTTCGAAATTGCGATGGTCACCCGATATAGTGTAGCTTTAGAGTAGTGTGCTGCCTTTTCATTGTTTGCTCATGGTAATTGCTGGAGTTGCGAACACCTGAGAAAATCAAAAGCAAGCGTAGTTACTGCGCTGGTTGTGGTCAATTTCCTAGGAGCTCTAGATGCCGCCTTGCTGCACACGACCACATATTCATGTATCAACAAGTAGTGTACTCCGAAACGAAAGCCTCATCGGAAGCGTGTACTCCGTATTCGCTCTTTTATCAAAAGGCTTGAGAGCACGTGAAAATGGATGTCGACTGGAAATTTCGGGAGGGTCCCGACGGTGGAACTAGGAGGAATTCTCCCCGGTGAACTGCGACTTCCAGCGAGGAGTTCCAACTAGGTTTAAGGGCAACGAATGCAGCGGTTCTAGGCACTGGGGCGCCGCCAAAAACCTGAAGGTTCGCGGCGCGGCGCGCGTTCCTGCGCCAGACGACGCTATGTGCACACACCCGCTTCTGGAGTATTCATGTACCACTGAACGTCAATGACTGTATGAGCCGTTGAGTACCTATTGACGAATGGTACCGAATTGTGATTCCGTTCCGAGGTTCTGGGTGGATGTAGTGAGCGCGACCCGGCCGAGGTCTAGGAGGAACAAGAAGACGGCCCGAGTCAATAAGTCCTCATTTCAATTTCTCGCCAAACTCAATCCAATGGGGTCACCAGTACTCCGTAGCTTGCTTCCATTTGATCATTCGGACTTGGACCAATGATACCATCAGTCTCACTTTGACCATCTCAAATTCGTGGATACGTTACCTTCCAGGAGGCCAAGACTTTGCAGGCGGCGCGGAGACACTAGGTACTGTGTAGGTACGCCGTCGACGCCGTAAACAATGGGCTCATCCATCTTTCGCCTGCCCAATGAGAGACGCTCTAGAGCAGTTGACGAGTTATCATTGCTTGATAGCGTGACGTAGAACTCTAGCCTGCCAAGGGATCCCGACCGGCTCTCAACGGCAAATTGGCATAGCAGTTGGCAAAGCAATTGGCTTCATGTTTCTGCCAAGATGCCAAGAGGCACAATCAAAACTTACGGTAACGCAATCGGGGAATGGGAATGGGATTCTTTCCTGGGTGCTGCTAGAGGCGCAGACAACTCAACCAGCCACCTGCGCAATCACAGAGCAGGCATTTCCGTCTCCCGCGGGGTACTTGACGTGATGTGAGCAGCAAATGAAGCTTCTTTGCCCTCGAAAGCCAAGTCGCCAATGCGCCTAGCCATCCCGCGATGAAGCAGTTCTTGTCCCCGGGCAGCCTCATTGCTTGTCGCTAATCCCCAAAAGCTTCGCTCTGCCTTGGCTCAAGGGGTCCATCGCAATATTGCTCAATCATATTTCGCCAGAGCCCAGGACCAGGTATGTGGTTCAAATAAACCGGACTTGCTATCCTTGCGGCGAACGGCAGCTGGAACGGCGCCTTCACCCACACGAAGCACGCAATGGGCAGCCAATCGTTGGCAAAAGTCTCATCTTCACTTGGTATGAAAATGCCTCGTTCTTCCCGTCGAAAGGTCGTACTACGCTTTCCATAAGCAGCGCAAGCCACGCTGCTGGGCCGCGTGGGATGGAACATGGACCGGACACACCGATGCCAAGCTGCTGGGTCGCGCCGGCGAATGGTCTCGAACTGCTGTCAGCAGTCAATCAATGGCAATCAAGAGAGCCCCGGTCCAGATAGACCGAGAGCTATCGGTATGTCACTGGCAGCGATGTGCATCCTGCAGAGGACCAGACACCTGCAGCTGACCCAACATAGTGGGCTCTCCGTTACCGAATCTCTCATTCTGCTTCTCCCGCCTGTAAATATTTGGGCGATCACGCTTGATAGTAGTGTGGGAAATCATAGCACCAACCAACGACGCAAGCAATGTGACCGTCGCACAACACGCGGCGTCTCTGAAGACTCTACTTACCTACTCGAACAGGTCTGATAAGGCTCCCTATCTTCTCTACCGCGTCATCAAGCACCATGGTACACATAGTTACGTTCATCCAAGTACCCCTCTTGTAGAATGTTTGTGGGTGAACCTTGTCGACTCTCGAGCTCTGGCCAGTCTTTGCCCGCGCTGCAGATTCGTCTTCAGGGACCAACGACTTGCCGGGACTCGGAAACATTTTCCTCGGAGTCTAATTAGAGAAGCCAACCCGAGAGACTGAGCTATTACCACCAGAATGGTGATAGAAAACCAAAGTATTTTCATTACTATAGATAGCCACGCCGGCCACAGACTCTTGAATGGAGATACAATAACCCGTCTGGCATGAACTCCGAGGATAGGAAAAGACAGGGAACGATCCCCGGAAGAAACAAGCTGGACCGCCCCCATCTTCCCCCATCCCCTGGTCGCCGCCTCCTCACTACGCCCTCATACCTCTTCGGGCCCATCCCGCGTTGGGCATGGTTCGCACAGAGACATCCACTCTCCTGCAGACCTCTCCCTCTTGCAGTCCTTCACCCCTCAGTCTCACCCCACTGTTCCCGCCTCTCTGTCTGCTGCGACGCTGCAGTGTAATTGCTGCGGTCCCTGATCTTTGGGAATTCTTGAAAAGGATCTGCGGTCGCAGTGTTGGTCGCGCCGAAGAGCTCTCTCGGTCCTTTCTCGCTCCTCTTCCTCTTCTCCTACGTGCGGCTTTCCCTAACGTCCTTCTTCTTCTAACGCGAAGAGCCAAATCCACATCAACCCCCGAGACATCGACCGGTGCTTGTGTGCAGTGTGAAACCCTCATGGAATTCAAAGTCCAATTCTTCTGTCTTCTTCTCAAAGCCCTTTGGTAATTTGAGGTTCACATACCCGTGACTTCTCCAAGGCTGCAAATCAATTCCAAGATCATCAACTTCGCTCAACCCGTCACGAGCGCGCATCTGGACTGCCGAGCCCCCCTTCTCCTCCGTTCACTCTTCCGACTCGACTCGAAACGAGGCCGCGCCGAGATCCCCCACTAAACCGGGCCTAATCCCCCACATCTTTCCCCTCGCCCCGACCGACCGACCATGTCATCCACCGGCATCGAGCGAGCGGGACACCGCGACGGCCTTCCGAATTATGGAGGCGGCTACTCCGAACATGGCCGTTTCCCCGATGAGAAGGGCGTCGGTGAGCCATATGGCGAACCCTTAGACGGCGGATTTCGGTCTTCGCTCGATTCTGGCGACAAGGGAGACCATACTCACCGCAAGCTCAAGTCGCGCCACATCCAACTGATTGGCATTGGCGGAACAATTGGTAGGTCCTTAGACGTGATACACAGAGAACAACCCAACTCACATTGTATGCAGGAACCGCTCTTTACGTACGTCACCTTGAAGCACGAGCCGATAGAAAGTCACATCTCATTTCAGGTACTCACACAAACATAGGTACAAATCGGAAGAGGTTTGCTCAATGGCGGCCCCGCCAGCTTATTCCTCGCCTTCACCATCTGGTGTACTTTCATCCTGGCCGTGACCCTGAGCATGGCCGAGATGGTCACCTACCTCCCGATTTCGAGTCCCTTCATCCGCTTCGCCGGTCGCTACGTCGATGAGGCCTTTGGGTTCGCTGCCGGCTGGAACTTTTTCGTCTTTGAGGCTGCTCTTGTACCGTTTGAGGTCGTCGCCTGCAACCTCATCATCCACTTTTGGAGCGACGTCGTACCCGCTGGAGGCATCATTGCCATCATTCTCGTCTTATACGGTATCATCAATGTCATGGCGGTGCAGTGGTACGGCGAGACAGAGTTCTGGGCTGCGCTTGGCAAGTTCTTGCTCATCGTGGGACTCATCATCTTTACGTTCATCGTCATGCTGGGAGGTATGCAGCTTCATACGTAACATGCTCGCCAGTTGGGAACATAGTACTCATCCTGTCTATAGGAAACCCGCTTGGAGACAGATTCGGCTTCCGGTAAGAAATTGTCTCTACTCTCTCCCATCAGCCACGTCCTCTGACCGAATTGATCCATCTAGGTACTGGTACGAACCAGGCGCATTCACAGAGCTCTACTACAGCGGCTCCCTCGGACGCTTCCTCGGATTTCTACAATGCTTGATCCAAGCTTCCTTTACCATCGCAGGACCCGATTACGTCGCCATGGCCGCCGGCGAGGCCGAGAACCCGCGCAAAGTCATGCCCCGCGCCTTTAACGCCGTCTTCTACCGCCTGACCGCCTTCTTCGTCCTCGGCTCCCTCTGCGTCGGCATTCTCGTCCCCTACAATGACGAAGAGCTCACTCGTGCCTTTAAGGACGGCGAACCCGGCGCCTCGGCCTCGCCCTACGTCGTCGCCATGAATCGCCTCAAGATCAGCGGCCTGCCCCACATCGTCAACGCCATGGTCCTCACAGCCGCCTTCTCTGCGGGTAATTCGTACGTCTACTGTGCTTCACGATCGCTGTACGGACTGGCACTTGAGGGCAAGGCGCCCGCGTTTTTCAAGAAGTGCACGAAGAAGGGCGTTCCGGTCTACTGCGTCATCGCCGTCTTGCTCATCGGCCTGCTCAGCTTCCTGCAACTCAGTGCCAACACGGCTGTTGTGCTGAATTGGTTTGTGAGCTTGGTCACCGCGTCGCAGTTGATCAACTTCTCCTGCATGTGCACGGCATATCTTGGGTTCTATCGTGCGCTCAAGGCCCAAGGCATCAGTCGCGATACCCTTCCCTACAAGGCTTGGTTCCAGCCGTACGCTGCCTGGTACGGTCTCATCGGCACCTTCATCATGACGTTCGTTGGAGGGTACACCGTTTTCTTGCCTCTGGATGGATACCGGAGTATCCCTGATTTTCTCTTCTCGTAAGCCAACCATCGTCTTTTAGCTAGCCTGCATGGTATACTGACAAGCACGAGGTATACGATGGTCGGCATTTTCCCTGTGCTGTACCTGGGCTGGAAATTCCTCAAGAAGACCAAGATCTTCAAACCTGAAGAGGTCGACCTGTACCGCAACAAGGATGAGATTGACGAGTATGAGAGGACGTTCGTACCTACTCCTGCCAAGTAAGTTGCCAATCTTATCCGATAATCAACAAGTGGTTTTAACGGGCATGACCAGGAACGTCTTTGAAAGGGTTCTAGACAAACTATTTGGGTAGAGTCGTGTTGACATATCCGTCCATTATATCATCGGCGTTTAGGGTGAAAGAAATAGATATCCCATGGGCAGAAACACAACTGAGGATTATTCCAATTAAAAGTTTTAAGACTATATCTCTCAACACCGTGATTCCACCTGCATCTTCGTCCAAGACATTTCATGATCACTGCTGCCTGCAATGAGACGGAAAGGATTGCGGCAAAGCGGATTCTTTGCTTAAGTTGGACAAATCTCCGCCCCATGTAAAGTAAGATCAACGCCATGAGGGCTCTCCACGAGCAGCATCAGCTCGGCAACCTTACGAACGAAGAGTTGGCCGCTCGGAATAGCGAACACCTCGCCACTGTACGAGCATCTTCATAGATTCCATCTCTTTTTTCTACCATCGGCTCCCCGTCACCATAGCCGGTCAGAGCTCCTCCCTCGCGCGCTGACCGCTTCGGATCTGGCCCACGGCCACCTACAGCTACGCCGTTCACCCCAATCACCCTGTTCGCTAACCAAGCGGGTATTTCAGGTTATGACGTTGAGCCTGGCTGGCCCGCACTATCAGGAGAATAAAAGGTAACGTTCCGTGCTTGGTCGGAGATGCTACGATGTGAGACTGGGGCTCAGCATGAGACAGCTCTAGCCGAATGGCCGGCAGCTTTTGCTCTTCCATTTGCAGGAGAGCATCAGCAACAAGGGAGGAACTTGGCAGGGCTTGCGAGCCGTGGGGAGAGGCTTCCTGGCGTGCCTGCGCGCCTGGGAATGATCACCGGGCTGAGCGTGTTTCGCGATGAGCAAGTAAATGACTGGCAGGAAGTGTTGAGACGGTGGGAAGCTCTACCTGAAGAGGAGAGACATGCGTATGAGGCGAGGGCTGCGACGGATAACGCTGCTACGAGAGCTACTTTTGATGAAGGGAGAGTATCGTGAAGTACATACTACAGTGAATACTGATCAATCTAATCCCGTGTTGCGAAGCCTCGTTGATGCATCTATCCGCGAAACTTCATTCCTGCCCATTTGCCACAAGAATGCGGCCACCATCAATGCATAAGTTGATGCCGTCAACGTAAGACTGATTTCGTAGGTCAGTTGATAAAGGAACGCAAGAATAAGGTTGCAACTGGTGTTGAAGTTTGGGACTTGAATGTCGGAACGAGAAGACTTGAGGCTTACCCCAGCTCTGCTAGCAAGATAAATCACCGCGCCGGCGATGTCTTCCTCTTGACCAGCTCTTTTGGCAGGAACCTTGTTGAACAAGGAACTAAACACATTGCCTTCCTCTCCAACAGGATTCATACGACTTGGAAAGACTAGGGGAATTCCATATGATCAGTAATCTCAGCTACCAACGACTTTGTTGTCACTTACAGCCAGGATTCAACCCCACAACTCGAACGTAGAAATTTCTGAACTTGGCGGCCAGAAGCTTCACTAGGTGATCCGTAGCGGCTTTGCTTGCAGCGTAGCTCGTCAGGTCAACATTGGTAACGTTGTGCATACTAGCACATGAGCTCGTCATGATCATGGCGCCACGTCCTTGACGACTACCAGGACCGTCGTCATCATTATGGGAAGCGGCAGCATGCAGCAGGGGAAGGAATGCGACAGCCAGGTAATAGTGTGATGTGACGTTGATGGAAAATGTGTCTTTCCAGTCAGACGGCCTCGAAGACTGCATTGAAGCTTGCAATTCGAGGACATTATCAGTCTCCAGGTCGCAAAGATCCAGCGGATCCCGTCGAATACCAGCGTTTGACACTAATAAGTCAAGGCTGTGTTCGCGTTGTTGAACATATTTTACCAGCTTTGTTATCTCATCATGCGACGAAAGGTCGCATGGCACACTGCAGAAGTCAGAGACGCGATGTCATGAGCTAGAATTTCTGCAATACCCTATTGCATTCCCCTCAGAAGACTTGCCCAACTCGTTGAGCTCTTTGACAGCTTCATCAGTGACGTCAGTTGGTAAAGCAGCCACGTACACCTTGGCACCATTCGTGACGAGGCCCTAGTAGTCTGAAATGAGAATACAAGTTGCTACAAAGGATCATGGTCTCTCGGCCTTGAGTCATTATACTGAGATGTTGGGTTACATACCTTTGCTATCATTAGGCCCAGTCCGCTACTGCCTCCGGTCACCACGGCCACATAGCCCTTGACCGAAAAGAGTCGCGTAATGTCGAGTGAAGCCATCCTTAGAATCTTCAACGAAGTGTACGAACCACTTATGAGGTATGTCAAAAGTTGTTCGATGCTCAACTTCGCCTCTGTAAGCGGTTGATCGCTTATCGGACTCTTTCGCTGGTCGTCGGCCTAGCCGATATGCAACCTCTCCCGTTATCAGACGAGGGCGGGGTAATTCCTCAACGTACCGCGACCTGCCGTCGGGAGATCCGACTGTCCTCTCACTTACATCCCAACGTTGTCACAGTCATCAGACATGGCACCAGAATTTGCGGACGCTCAAGCTAAAACGTCGTGCAAGCGATGTCACCGACGAAAGAAAAGATGTGATCGCGGGTTGCCCCAATGCAGGAACTGTAGCGGGGCTCGAGTGTCGTGCAGCTTCCTCGATGATGATCGAGTTATGGCATCTTACCCCGTCACGTAAGTGATATCCTTTTTTGATAGTATATAAACTCTTTGATGTTTGCTGAATAAAACATATTGAATAGATACGTGCGCAGTCTCGAGGCAAAAGTCAAGTCTCTCGAAAAGGAAATCAATTCACTAAGATCCGCGACAGGAAGAGAACTAGACTCTCGAGCGGAACTCATAAATCCGGATACAAGTGATATTAATATTGCCCTCGGTCGTCAAGAGACGGAGGCAAACAGCACGAACTTGCTTTATGAGCCCTCGCCTACCCAGCTGCCTCTCTTGCAGTCCTCCCCTTCCTTCGTCGAAGAGCTCAAAATCCTCTCCTTCGAGGCAACGGCTGATCGTCATTTGGGATCTTCCTCCGGCCTCTCCTTCGCCAAGCTGACACAAACCGTTCTTCGGCGTCTGAATCCCGACAAGGCCGACTTTAGCTTCGCTCATTTTGAACCCGAGGGTGGCATATGGCCGCAGTTGAACCTTCCCTCCTCGACTTCGGACCTCTTAGATTCAACGTTGTTCAGTGGATTCAGAGACTCTTTCATGTGCTACCCTTCGATGCTTGACGGGTTCTCCCCGACCGCGCCAACCGAGCCCATCTCCCTTCCAGAGCAACAGGTCTCTCTTGAAGGCAGTCATGTTGACCAGCTCATACGTTTCTACTTTGCTCACTCGCATACGTTATACCCGATCGTTCACCGCCAGGAGTTCAATAATATACTGGAGCATGTTCGAGCGGATCCTCAGTGTGCTTTAGCTCAATCATCCCTATGTCAATTTCGCCTATGGATGGTCCTTGCCATTGGATCAACTGCGCAATGTTCAGTCACCCTTTCAGATGAGCACGAATCAATGATGTACTACAAGAAAGCACTCGAGCACTTTGAGGGGGCTCTCGATTATGGATACATGGTACGAATCTCCGTGTAAGTGAGTTTATGGGGGGTATGAAGGCTGACACATAACTGAAGGCCGCGTTGGAAGTTTTACTTCTGCAAGTATCTTATTCTTTCTTCAACCAGCTTGAACCCAGTAAGCGATGCCAGAAATTCGTTTAGATACTCTTGCTCACTTTTTTGATAACAGATACATGGACATTGGTTGGTCTCGGTGCACGTATGGCAATTGGATTAGGCATGCATGCTTCCTCAACCTACGAAGGCCTACCAGCAGACGTGTCTGAAAAGCGGAAGAGGCTCTTCTTTTCCGTTTACATGATGGATCGGTGAGTCCTCACGATCCACGATACCGCAATGCCTGGCATACTGATCCTATCCAACAGCGTAGTATCTATAGCTCTAGGTCGCCCATTCGCCATAAATGAAGATGACATCGATGTGACGGTAAGATAGGCACTCTCTCGGGACTTAATTGTCCAACTTCTCGCTCATCAACTGACTCAAATTTCAAGCCCTTCGCGGTGGAAAACGATAGTGACGTTGGGGCACAAATTGATCTGCTCGAGAACTCATTTAAGCCTTCAATACTGACCGTTCCACTCCACATCCTCGAGCTACGGCAGATTGCCAGCAACATCACGACTTCAGTCTATTCGCACCGAATGTCAGCCAGCCTTAATGCCGAACAGCGCGAAGAGTTGTCAAACTCGCTTCACCAAAGACTTCTTAACTGGCGTCGTAATATGCCATTTCCTCTTCCAAACACCGACGCTGCAGTGCCGCACCTCAACAGCAGCTGGTATGCCTTCAACTATTATCTCCATGTCGCCATGTTGTATCGACCATCTCCGCTGTTCCCGACTCTGCCAGAACCTCGTGTCAAAGTGTTAGCGGAAGCTGCATCCATGTCGATTCGTCAAGTATCTAATATGCACCGCCAAAGGTGTCTTGCATACAATTGGCTCAACCTTCTCTCGATATTTACCGCAACTTTGTCCCTAATATACGCTACAACTGCCCAACCTGATAATCTCATCTCTGTTTTGAGAGACAAGGGAGCAGTGGCGGACCTTGACTTGACTATCGAGCTATTTGACAAGCTTAGCGTCAAGTTCCCTGTGGCTGGTAAGATATGTCGAATGGTTGAACAGATATCTACTAGGTACAAAGAAATGATGGAAGTCAACGAGGCGTGAGCTGAAAAGCCAAAAGACGAGCTACCTAGGTCTCTTACTATCTTACCCAGTCAATCCTATCTGTTCAAATGATGTCTATATTACCAGTGGTCGGTGGGCGGCTTGTCCGACACGAATGATAAGCCTACAGTTGGAGGTATCGGGTCGTCCGATGATTAATCGCCACATCACTGTTCGACCTCCGACCGACATGACCGTGATTGAGGGGAAGATTGATGCATGAGAAATCTTTGTGCGAATTTGAACGATCTCGCTATATTTTCCTAAATCCGGAGTCATATAAGTACTGTCGGCAACGTCCTGGTGACCCTTTACTACGGATCCAGCAGACTGACTCCATTCCTCATGTTCGGCGAGAAGCGACCGCAGAAAGGGCCAGCTCATGATGTCAAATTTGCTCAATTTAACGAGATCGTTCCAGTCTCTGGGGCATAAAGGGGTTATTGAAGAGGCTTTCTCACTCGTGCCTGTCCTCGCAACGACTCTGGCGTTACTGGCCTGCTATGTCGCCTATAATGTAAGCTCGTTCAGCATTTCCGACTATCCACCTAGCTCTACGATGAGAATGCTGACTTCACAGGTTGCCTTCGGCACTGACATCCCTCACATCAAGGGACTTCCTCAAATGCCTGGCGCTGTTCCAATGTTTGGACATCTTCTAAGGCTCGGCGAAGACCACGCGAGCACTTGCGAGAATTGGTGGCGGAAAGGGAACCCATCCACCTTCCAAATCAAGCTGGGAAACACGAGAGCCGTAGTGTTCAACTCATATGAAGACATCCGTCGTCTGCTCATTGGATATCAGAATGCAGTCATTGACCGGCCGAAATTGTACACCTTCCACGGTCTCATCAGCAGTACGCAGGGCTTCACGATCGGATCGTCGCCCTGGGATGACTCGTGCCGCCGAAAACGCAAGGCCGCAGGCACGGCGCTTGGAAGACCCGCCCTTCGGAGTTACTATCCGATGTTCGACCTCGAGAGCTATTGCATCCTCCGAGATCTGCATAAGGACAGTCGCAACGGTGAGGTGGAGATTAGCGTGCGACCGTATATCCAACGGTATGCGTTGAACACCACCTTGACGCTCTGCTACGGTATTCGAATGGACGCTGTCTACGATGACCTGCTACGCGAGATTCTGCACGTTGGTTCGGCAATCTCGCTCTTGCGTAGTGCTTCAGAGAACACCCAAGACTACGTCCCCATCATGCGGTACTTCCCAAACAATGAGAAGAGCCGTCGTTCTAAAGATCTCAGGGAACGCCGAGACGCGTATTTGAATCTGCTTCTGGATAAAGTGCGGGAGCAGATCAAGCGGGGTACCGATAAGCCCTGCATTTCAGCAGCAATTTTGAAGAACGAAGAAACTAAGCTTAGCGAGGTTGAAGTCTCGTCCATCTGCCTGTCGCTTGTGTCCGGAGGATTCGAGACGATACCGGGGACTCTCACCTCGGCTATCGGATCCCTTGCCACAAAGGAGGGACAGGCCTGGCAGGACCGGGCTTACGAAGACATCAAGCGTTACTACCCAGACGTGCGCGAAGCATGGGCTTCCTGCTACGCAGAAGAGAAAATTCCCTACATCAACGCCATTATTAGGGAAGCTGGGAGGTACTACACAGTCAGTTCTATGAGTCTTCCCCGAAAGACCGTCACCGAAGTGAATTGGAACGGAGCCATCATACCCCCTAAGACAATGATCTTGGTCAACGCACAAGCCGGAAATCATGGTGCGTCACTCTCTCCCCAAGTGACTGAAGGTTTCTTAGTCTTACTGACGTTGTGCAAGATGTCAGACATTTTGGTGATGATGCCGGTCATTTCGATCCCGAGCGGTGGCTTGAAAGTCTTAATCCCCCAACAGAAAAGGAGATCTCAGGCGTCGGTCACCTCAGCTTTGGATTGGGTTCCCGCGGCTGCTCCGGGCAGTACATCGCCCAGCGTCTACTATATGCGGCCTTGGTGCGGCTGCTATCTTCGTACAAAATTGTTGCAAGCGAAGAAGAACCTCCGAATACCGACTATGTCGAGTATAACCAGTTCAAGACCGCTTTGGTGGCGATCCCGAAGGACTTCAAGGTAAAGCTCATCCCCAGAGACACCTCTGTGACGAGTGATTGTTTGAGAGCTGCGGAGGAGAGAACTAGGGAGCATTATGTAGAGCAAGGCAGTTGGGATACATCCATGCACGTCTAGTTAACAGTCAAAAGACTACCGGGGCTTTGGCCTAACACCTTGGATCCTTCAGGTCTCCCTCTGATTACCTTTTGAATTCAACAATAGCGTATCCTTGAAGTTTACAAGATCAATTTGTGTCTATCCAAAATGGTTGCACCCCGCTTCTGTAAACAATTGATCAAATTTATTCAGGAACTTAGCTGGGTTTAGACCTGTACCAGTCAGGCCAACATCGTTCAGTCTTTTTTAGAATCTTGGGTATGGAGTCACTGGTTCGCCTTCCAACGCAAGGGTATCGCCAAATCTCAGCTTTCGAAATGGTCACCTGGATTTTTACGTCTGAGGGTAAAGCCAAACTGTGGCCAGAGCCTTGTGTTCACGTGTTCCTCTGATGGCCTTTGCTGCATGATATCAATCCACATATTGACGGCTTCCGAATGCTCCGTGAGGGATTTCAATTAGCGTCTCGCAATTTTGAATTCACTAGAATCATAGCGTATTTCGATATACCAACTCGAGCTAAAGTCGATTAACATGTCTCTCAACGGACCTAGCAAAGATCACAAAGATGCCCTGTGGAAAGAAGCTTCTCAAGCGTCAAACTTGGGCCATTACGCACTCTTTTCGAGTCTCGAGCCCATCAAGGACTATATGCATAGCACATAACACATGCTGAAAGCAGTGGCCAGTATCTGGATCATTGAGTCACAGAGCCGGGAGGATTCGGAAAGGAATCCCTCGGTAAGGAAAGGTAGTCCGAGCGATCAATGCCTGCCCGGTAGGTTCCTCTAGAGGCGCCTCGGGGTAGTCTGATCATCGCCTGACAACAGCCAAGCGATTCCCGATCTCAGCCCTGCAAAGCATCAGCCGTCTTTGTACAGATTTGTTAGTTCTAATACTGACGGCTCCTATGGGCCTATCAGAAAGCCTTATGCGGAGTTGCCAAAAGTCTGTGGAAAGGGTAAGGGTCAAGAGTCTCAATCTTCAATCTTTGACAATACAGCGGGGGTCTGGCTTAGCGAAGCGGGAAGCTACAACCGCCCGTTCGAAGTAAGAGAAAGGCGAACATGAAGCTTAACGGAGCCGACGGAAAGTGAGCAGAGTTATAGACTAGTATCAGGGTCGTTTGTACATGAGGCTATTTAGTTCAACCCAGCAATTTGGCTTCCCAAACACATCAACGAACGAGACGGGAGTGAAGGGGACATCCTGTTTTGAGACTCTCGAAACAAACGCTAATCTTGATGGAATACAAACATCAAAACTGTCAATATCGTCCAAACACAAAGCTCTAGGACATAAGCAAAAGCTTCTAAGCTTAATTGTGAGAGCTTGGGGCGGAACCAGATCCCCTCGGCAACCCGACAATGCCTACCTTTCAACTCAAAAAAGAAGGGATCACTCCGAGATCGCGAAATCAAGTGAGCGGCGAATTAACGTCGGCGACAATGCCAAATAATCGTGAAAAGTGGAAGGGCTCGGGCCCGCTTCGATTCCCGATTAACTCAGAGTTCATCCCGTCTCTCCCCCATTTTAAGCTTTGGTGAAAGAGTGTTCCCTCCCCCACGGGTTTGAAAGGAGGCTAAATCTCAGATCATCCCATCCCATCACCTACCTCAACACCCTTCAGGCCGTCATGGATCTCGGGCTCTCGTTCCTCCTCTGACACATCTCATCCCCCTTGGGCCACCGCCCGTTCGCTGTTCGGCGCGTCAAAGGTCCAGAACCTACCTCCCTTCGAGGCCCTTCCCGTACTCTGACGAATCGCATCATTTCCAGGACGAAACGTACTCAAATCCCCATTCGTCCATCGCCTCGAGAAGAAGCTAAGGCAGAGATGGCCGTAGCGGTCGTCGGAACCGTGAATCCTGTGCGTAGGGCTTGGCATGTCAGAGAGCTTTGCCATTCGCCCCCCTGCCCCCCTTTGGGAGCTCCAGCTCTACCCAGCTTGAAGCTCCAGCTCCAGCTCAGCTCAGCTTCGACCAGCTCTTTGCCCGTTGGGAAAGTCACAGTAATTCAAATTTCCATCCACTAGATGCCGTTCGCCGCTTAGTCATCTCGAAGGAAACGTGAGTCTGTGACACCCCCAGCGGCAGGCCGCCGAAACTTGAACGGACGGATATCTGTCACGATCTGATCTCAACGGGACCACGGGCTCCACTACCGTTCCGTTTGGATTCTTGCCACCGTTTCGAGAAGCGCTAGACGCCGTTAATGTTCTTTTGAGGATTTTCTTCCAGATTTGTTGAGGTTGTGTTGTGGCGAAAGACAGCATCACGGTGTCGATGATGAGCACCATCGCGAACCTCAACCACCACATACGACCATACCCATTGGAAAACTCGGGATCCCGTCCGCTCTCCCATAGATAAGCTAATGAGGGCCGGATTAGTAGTTGGGTCGGTGACGACCAGCGAATACCTGGTGTTGTATGTTTTTGGCTTTTGTGAAGCTATCGTGATCCACTTGAAGTGTTCGCGGCGGATCACAATTGCGGGGCCGGCGTTGTTTCTGCATCACCCAGCCTATGACCTCGTTGTTCACGCTAGGCACTATGAGTTGGAGAGTGGTTTGGATTTTCTTTTTTTGAATGATTGTGGTATAAGTGTAAATTTCTATATTCATACATCGTAGAAGGTATATTCATCCATGTCACATTCTAGACCTCCAGATGACCAGCTCCTCCAGTAGCATCGGCATCTTTCCGTTTGAAAAAATGAGCCCGTAAACAAAGGGAATCCCTGATATCAATCCGAATGATCCATCAGCGCCGTCCATGATCTCACCAGTTTCATATCCTACCATCAAACATTCTTGCCATCCATCCTCATTAGACTCATCACCTTTCACGCCCATAGCCATAGTGATCTTATGACAGCATCGTCGGCGACGAGCGTCCGGAACAGCTGGCGCTGGCGCTGTCCTCTCCATCAACATATCCCTTCTCGTTACCCGAATCCACGTCGCTCTCAGTCGCCCATCGGCCAGGGCATCCGGGGATGTCGCGCTCGTGTTCGCGGTACTGCTTCTCGCGCTCGCCATCCTCCTTTCTTTGGCGGAGATTCAACGTGACGGAAGGCGGCTTGACAGACATGGCAGCCCTCTTCTTCTCGCGGGTGTCGATGTCAGGCATACCCATCTTCATCATGAGCTCCTCATTCTCGTCTTCCTCCTTAGCGGCATCGAACATGGCCTTCATAAGGTCGGCCTTTTCGGGCGTGCGCGCGACAACGTCAAAGTCGAAGAAAGCGGGCTTGGCGATCAGGAGAGGGGTGTAGTCGTTCCAGTGCACGGGGACCTCAGTGCCGTCGGCGTTAAACTTCTTGCGAATGTTGAAAGCCCAGGCCATGCCTCCCATGGACAGGAAGAGGTCCTGGTCAACAATGGGGACACCCTGGCACGTCCTGCGTCCGAAACCGAATTGACTGAAGCCGTCGAGGTTGGGGAATCTAGTGAGAGGCTCCTTGTAGGTAGGGTACTCAGGCTGCACCCAGCGTCCGGGGTTGAAGGTCTCAGCATCGGGGTAGACGGACTCGTCGCGAGTGATGCCCCTAGGCTGCGTTAGTAATGGAACGAACACTTGGTCCTAGTGTCGAGCTACTAACCATTCAAGAGCATGAATCGTGGCACCGGCAGGGATAAAGTAGCCGTTGTAAACATCGTCCTTTTCGACAGCGTGGGGAATGCCTGCACGTCACGTCAATCGCGCTGAACTCAAAAACAAACTTCCACTATGATGGCGCAAAACGTACCAGTAGGGACCGGGGGTCTCCACCGAATGACTTCCTTGACGACAGCTCTCAATAAAGGCAACTTCTCACGATCCGACCATTGAGGGCATCTGCCTTCGCAGTTCTCGTCAATCTCCTGCTGCAAGCGAGCCTGCCATTCGGGGTAGTGCAGCATGGCGAGGAGGAAACTCTGGATGGGGCTACCGATGGTCAAGGCGCCAGCAATGGCCATGAGACCAACAACGTTCTGAGCCTCCGCAAGGTCGCCCCATTTGCCCTTTTCGTTTCCGAGACCCTCGTTGATAAACGTGCTGATGAAGCTCGGCGCGGCGGTACCCTTCTCGACCTGATCCTTGACAAAGTCGACGTTGCTCGTGAACTGCTTCGACTCAATGTCGTGGCGCTCTGCCTCCTTCTTCTTCCACGGCGACAGCGCTGCGGGGACGTGCATGAGGAAGGAGATGACATTAGGAAGAGCACCGGCAGGGGAGATGGTCTCGAGAAGGCCAAAGGTGGTCTTGCGCAGAACTCTGGCCGGGTGGGCGGTACCCCAAGAAAGGCGACTGACGGTTCGGCTGGTGAACTGCTCGATGTACTCGCGATACTCGGCAGGCTTCTGGTAGAGAAGCCACAGGAAACGATCGCGCTCGCGGCTCGGGTATGCGTGGAGCTCCTGCTTGTCGCTCTGGTTCATGAGGTGGTGGCAAAGCTTGCGCTGGCGCTTCCATGTTTCTGACCGGATTGTTAGTGAGTATATCTAGGTGAGAGGCAAGTAGAAGGTATACCTGTCCGGCCAAGGAGAGCAAGGTAGTCGCCGCTGGTGCGGTTATCCGGGAGGTTAGGAATCATGGGCCGGTCAGAGTAGATGACATTACGACGGCCAAGGAGGTCGTGAGCAACTTGCTCAGAGGAGATCCAGACGTGGTAAGAACCGAACATCTCTTGCCCGTAGATTGGGCCATACTGCTGGCCCCATTCATGGAACTTCATCCATGCCGCCTCTGCCGGAACATCGTGAACGCGACCAATAAAGGGCAGGCCTGTGCTGAAGTCAGTGTCTGTATACCATCGTTGGCATGTCGTGGTCGTAACAGCTTACCCTTTGGTCCAGGAAGAGGCTTTGCTCCCGCTGGAATCCTCTTCTTCAACTGAATGGCGGAGTAAAGGCGCCATGCGCAGAAGAGGATAAAGCCGAGGATTGCCACGCCTACGGCCATCGTGACAAGGCCAAGTGATATTAGGGAATACAACTAAGTGTTGTCTACGGTATAGTATGAAGAAGGGTAAAGGGGGGAACCGACGTCAAGGTCGATTAGGGGTGAAGAACAAAAGAGAGTGAAGAATAAGACCTGCTGATGCAGGAAAGCAGAAACGACAAGAACCACGATGACGGGTCTCGAGGACGGTGTGTCTCTCGGCTGTTATTAAGAAGAGTGAGGGCCACGTTCAGCCATCCGGTCATGGAACGCCCAAGCGGACCGACGGGGAACGGCCAACGGTCCCTTTGTCTGGAAACATGACTGAACCACGCGAGTATGGACGCTCGCCGGATTCCCCAAGCGCCATGGCAAAAAGTCCAATACCACCCTATTGCGACTATCATGGATCGGCGCACAGCGGGCGGCGGCGGCAAACTTGTCAGTCCACCTCGCCGTCCATTCCGCCATCCATGGTCCAACAACGGATGCCCAGAGTCTTGGACCCCGGTGATGGTGTATAATCCTTGACAACATAGCAAAAGATACTTGTGCCGCGCTTGCATGTCGGTCGCCGCCGTTGTGCTTGCCTGCTTGCCTGCTTGCTAATGGTAGTGGTGGTGGTGGTGGTGGTGCTGCTGCTGCTTGCTCGCTTGGCTCCCTTCCCTTCCTTTCCCAGACAAGTGGTTCGTTGAGTTCTGACATTTGGGCATTGAGCTTCCTGAAAGGTACATCAGAGATCAGACACTCGGTTCGCCTCAAGAGACGAGGAAGGGGCAAAGACAGATCCCCGAGAGCTCCCCAGCTGGAGCTCACGGAGTGCTAGCAAATACCGATGCCCGTCCTTGCATCTTGCGTGGGAGGGTATGCAGGCTCGTGGACTGCAGCAGGGTTGACCATGGCTGCTTAGGGCCCAAGGAGACGGTTAGAATATGAGGTGACTGTGGGATGCGCGTTGCATCTGCGAGAGCTCCAAACACAGGGGCCAGAAGATTGGCCGAGTCGACATCTCACTGCAGCAAGGAGTAAACACGCTACCGTGACTACCAAGCTGTTCCATGTCCAAGTCCGTAGTGCCCGCGGTGGGCAACAGGATCATCCTCGTCCCACTTTGCCCTCGTCGACTGGGCGTCTGAACCAGTCACCTAGGCACCGGCGTCAGGTAGAGCTGTTGCGGTGGGCTACCGGAGCGTAGGTCGGGGCCCGTCCGGTCTCGGCACAGACACCGAGCCACTTCACCGGGCAGTACGCTAGCTTTGCAGCTAAAACCAAGGATAGTATACGAGCAGAAGAAATCGCACTGCTCGATTGCCTAAAATTGTCGGAAGAAGCTGCTGTCACAATTCTCTCGAACCATTCTAGGGCTAGGCCAGGCACACCCGATGGGCCGTTGGCCCACTCCTTGACGTTTTCGCTTCCTTCGTTTGCGCGCTATTCTGCTCTGTCCTGAGCGGAAGCTTGGAAAAGATCAGGACGAGGTATTCGCATGCCGCCATGATGCTGAGGCCGATCCGCATGGTGCCCCACGCCGGATGCACCGCTACTATTGTGTTCCGGAGCCTGGGCAAACGTCAGTCTCGGCCTTGGACATTTAGACAGCACACAACGCCCAACGCAAGGTAGGGATAAATCATCAATATTGTTCTTGGGTTTCCTCCGGCACTTGACCAGGAGACGTCGGCAGAGAGACTTCACAGAGTCATCGACTCTGAATGTGTAGATTGTGGACGTCGATCAACTGCAAGCCACGGCGTCGCGGAAGCTATGCGGTCGGAAATTGGTAGCCAACAGCCACCCGCAGATCGAGTGAGAGCCAGCGACAGCCAGTAAGAACCAGTCAGAGCCGTCGAGAGCCATCGCAACTCTAGTGTTTCGACATATGCAAGATTCGGTGTTGGCAGGGATTAGTACGCCCTAGCGGGATCCGAGCGGGAAGATCACTTGGTTGGCGCCCAGGAATGGAACTCCCCCACGCCATTCACCGAGCGTCAGACAAAAGCCACATGTTGGTACCTTAGACAAGTTGTCGAGCGCCTCTTGATTCCTTGAAGGGAGAGCGTCAGGGGAGGCCACCTATTGTGAGTGTCGTGGCACTGTGGCTCATAGCTCGCGCTGCGCAGTTCTGCTTTGACAGTCATCATGGGTCAGACTTTTCTCACCTGAGTGTAAGTGGGTGAATCTCCTGCTTCTTGCGAAACACTCTCGTCGCGACCTCTCGACATATGCCGTGCTTAGCTTGGCCTAGATCCAGTCTGCTGCTACTTCTGTTGTTGCCTCTGCTTCTGCATCTGCAGAGAAACCAGCCCTACTGGGTCGAATTGCCGCCGTCGCCACCTGCACATCAAACTTCACTGCAGATTGAATGACTCCTTCGTCTCCATCTGGGGTAGTAAATGGTAAAAAATTGTCTCTTCAATTACTCAGCACTAATGGGCTGGTGCACGCGAATCCTGTGTGGCTCATGCTGTCTGTCCGACGATAACGACGACGGCCACAGACGGCCACGGGGATTTGTAGTACACCGAAACGGTCGGTGGCTTCTTTGATCGAAAACGTCTCGACTTTGTGCGACGCCACACCGGTTCGTGCCGTCGGCCATTATGGAATAGCACCACAATGTGGCTGATGGCTAGTAGCCGTTGTGCCGGCCTGTTACGCAGTAGTAGCTCCTATGCCCGTGTTCGTCATTGGTACGAACACTGTTGTGGCCGTAGGTCACTCTGCTCATAATCCTCCGCTGTCTTTTTAGTTGTTCAAGTCCTCTCTATACGACCACTTTTCCCTCCACTCTCGTCTCTCACAGTCATAATTCCGTCATGATGCCAGTTCACATTCTGGTGGGGTGGTCAGCATCAAGTTTCACATGCCAGACGGCATCGTGCGACAGCGTATGGAGAAGAACTCACCTCTCGACAGGGGACAGTCCCAAGAGACGCATGCCGTTGAAGAGCACGGTCCTGGCGGCCATGTACAGCGCCAAGCGGGCCTTCTGGAGCTCAGCTTCGCTTCCAACAATACGCAACACATCGTAACTGCTGCTGACGACGTGCGTGAGGCGGAACAGATACGTAAGCACAGTGGTGGGCTCCAAGGTCTTGAGAGTGTTCTGGACAACGTCGGGGTACTGGCTAATGACGCGGATCAGCTCAATAGCATGCTTCTCCGTCAGCAAGCCAAGATCGGCCTTTGCAATCTCCTCCTCAGCGACTCCAGCCTTGCGGAAGATGGAGCACAGGCGAGCGTGGGCGTACTGGAGGTACGGTCCGGTGTCACCCTCGAACGAGGTCATGGTGTCCATGTCGAACTTGTAATTGTTGACCCTGGGCCAATGTGTCAGTGCATCCGAAAGCGCCTGGAAGGAAAAGTCCGGACGACATACCTCTTTCCACTCATATCCTGCACCATCACACTGCTGATGCCAAGAATGTCGGCCGTAGCCTCCGGTTCCGCAACCTGAGCATACTTGGCCTCATTCTTCTTCATCACCTCGTGCATCTTGTCTCCGACGTCGCGCAGAATGTCATCCAAGAACTTGACAGTACCCTTGCGGGTGCTCATTCCCAGAACCATACCAAAGTTGATGTGCTGGCACTTCTTGGCCGTCTCGCCGTGGCCCATAAGCTCGATAATCTTGAAGAGCTGCTTCAAGTGCAAATCTTGTTGAGAGGCAATGACGTAAATCATGTGGTCAAAGTTGTACTTCTTTTGGCGGTGGAGAAGCTCGCTGATATCACGGGTCAGGTACAGAGCTGTGCCGTCCTTCTTGCGAATGATGGGGCGCTCCAAGCTCTTGCCCGGCTTTCCGGGAATGTGCTTAGCGAAGTCAATGATGACAGCGCCTTCTGACTTTTCGGAGATGTTCATGTCTTCGAGCTTTTTGGCAGCAGCCTCCATATCCTGCTCGGAGACTTGGGACTCGCCCGAGTACTCGTCAAAGTGGATGTTAAGACGGGCGTAGGTCTCCTTGTAACGCTTGATACTAAGATCACGGAATCGTCTCCATTGAGCAACAGCCTTGTCGTCTCCGTCAACCATGGCCTTGAAGTACTTGCGAGCCTGCTCGTCGAGGCTGTTGTCCTTGAGCGCGGTGACGTCCTCCCCAGCCTGCTCCTTTGCGGTGATCTGATCCTTCTCGTCGGCCATATCCCTGTTGATCTTGACGTAGACCTCGTACAGGTGGTTGATGGGATCGGCGGCAAGCGCCTCCTCGCTACCGAACCTCTCAAAGCCCAGAGCCAAGAGACCATACTGCTTTCCCCAGTCACCAAGGTAGTTGATACGGGTCACATCCCAGCCGGCGCCATCGTACAGGTTGGCAATGAAGCCACCAATGATGGTGCTTCGCAAGTGACCAGCGTGGAAAGGCTTCGCGATATTCGGGGAGGAGAACTCGACAATGATCTTCTTCTTGCCCTGGGACTTGTCTTCGGGGTTCTTGAGGCCGTTGTTGGGGTTCTTGCCAAAGTCGACGCCACGGGACCGGACCTGGGGGATCAGAAGCTGGGAAAGGGGGCCGGGCTTGAACCAGAACTGGAGGAAAGTGCCATTCTGGAAAGAAACGGGCTTCTCGATCAAGGGAGACTCGGGGATCTGTTACCAAGGTGTGTTAGCCCAACATTCGATTGTACCACGAAAGAGCCAGCGCGCATTGGTTCAGGGGTACGGGTTATTCCAATGATCTTGGTTCAGAACTGACCTTGTCGAGCCACTCAGCAGTGAGATCCGCAGGCTTCTTGCCCTTGATGCGAAGAGCAGGGACAGCCAGTACCAAGTCGCCTTTATCCAAGCTCTGGGTCCATTGAAGGGCGTTGTAGATGATAGTGCTCTCAACGCCGGTAACAGGCTGCAGCAGCGAGGTGATGTGGGAGCGGTAGACGTCAATGGGGTTGACTTCGGGGTAGCAGCCGGGGTAGGACTCGAGCTTGCTCACGGAAAGCGTCTCGAGCTGCGCCGTGATCTGGTCGGCCATTGTCGCAAGCGAGATGGTGGGGGTGGGGGGAGGTTTGGCGAGGGTCGACCGC